CCCTTTGGAATGATTCTACTGTATAAAGTAGAATCTATAAAGTCCAGATTAAGAAGGATCCCCTTTAAGCCTATTTAGCTAGCAGAGTTTCATCATGCACATGAGTTGAGGGTTATCCAATCTTTTCTGCATTCATGAAGATGATCCCATGCAATTGTTCCTTTCCTGCTGCGAATGTATTTAATGTGTTTGATTTTTCAGGTGTGAAGTCCATTTCATAATCATGGAATAAGTCCCCCTGAATCTATGATATGGTTCTTTCATGTATTTGTTATGTCTATTTATTGCTCAGTTTTATTACATTTAGGCATGCATAGATTTTATCGCTGTGATCAATAATGTTGGCCAGTTCATTTTCTGATCTTCAGAATTCCTTGTGGATAGAAAGGACTTCTGAATCCACGAAACAAAATTGAGTTTAATCTCCTCTGTTCTCTGGACATTTCCTGTTGGCATAGTGTCATCATTTCATCCAAACTGAGAGACTTTGCTAGCGAGGCATCAAGAAGTACAGTTTTTCTTGAGGGATTTAATTAAATTCTTACCTCCTGTTTATATATGCATGCATCTATACATACATATGCATATTTATGTTTCTGTAAGCCATAATTTTTAAGAGTTGACTTGCTTAATTTAATTTTCTAGTTTTTGTGTATACATTGTGTGTGTGCGTGTGTGTGCGCATGTGTGTGTGTGCTGTATGCATGTATGTATGTGGGTGTGCACATATGTGGAAGTCAGATCAGGACTTTGGGTTTCTTGCTCTAGGGTCTGTCGCTGAACTTTTTATTTAAGCTGAACTGGACTGTCTTCACTTAATGTGTGGGTAAAAGGCACACACATCCATGCCTTGCTTTTTAAATGGGTTCTAGGGATTTGACCTCAAGTCCTCAACCTTGTCTAGCAAGTGCTCTTACCTACTTTCTGTCTTCTCAGTCCTAAATCTTATACTTTTTTGCATGTTAGTAAGATCTGCAGCATGTTTTTCATGAAGAAACGTCATCATTTACATTCGTCTTTAGATGGAGCCAGCATTTGCCTTCTTGGATCTCTGCTTTCTGTTTCCTTTTTGTTGGTTACTTCTCTGTATTACTTTCTGTGGCTTAGTTTCTTACTTTTCTAATCTTTTAGATGGGTGTTCACATCACTTATTTTTTATCTTCCTTGTTAATGTAAAGGTCCAATGTTCTGCACGTTCCTATGTGCACAACATTATGTGCCAATAATTTTGGATTGTACATTTTGGATTGTAATAATAATCATACAAATTTAGTTAAAGCCATTTCTAATTTTTATTTTGATTTCTTCCTTTACCAAAAAGTGTGTTAATTTCCAAACACTGCAGGTTTTTGTTGTTGTTGTTGTTGTTGTTGTTGTTGTTGTTTATATCTTTGTTTCCAGTTTGTCATTTAATTCCTTTATGTTCAGAAACTATTGCTCTAACAAGGGCTTGTTTTTGTAAATGTTCCATGAAAGGTTAATAATAGGTCATTATATGTATTGTTTATATAGATAGATAGATAGATGGATAGATGATAGATAGATGATAGATTGATAGATAGATCGGTAGATGATACATAGAGATATATAATTCAATTTGCTATATTCATGTTTACATTAGTATTAAAACTGTGTATCTGATTGGTCTATCAATTACATGGAGACCTGTCAAATTTTCACTATCATTCTACAATTATGAATTATCTATCTGTTTCTCATCAGTCCTTACCCTAAATAAATATGCTTTATGTCATAATTTTCTATTAAATTCTTGCTTTGCATTCTTGTATTTTATTTTTATATGCTATTATTTTCTTATTTTCCTGCCAACCTAGTAATGGTCCAGTTTCTTAAAAAAATAATAGATATTTATCTAGCATTTTACTATTTTAGGAAAATGTGTAATAATGTTACAATATTAATATTTCTTCCCCCAAAATAAGTTAATCTATTTTAGTAATATTTTTATCTTCAAATGCTATCTGATATAATTTGATTTTGTCTTATATTTATGTCTTTACACAATAACAAAGTAATGCAAGTAGCTAAAACATACTAAATAATTACTGTGCACCATATATTGTTTTCAATTTGTGCATTAACCCATTGAATAGCCTCAGCCTCTCTGTAGGGTAGATGTAATTGTCACCTCTGTGTCTGTAAAAGGAAAGAAGCAGAGAAAAGCTGGCTGTATGCTTATGGCTATGCTTTTGGCTAGTGAATGCTAGAACAGAAATTGTTTTTTAATTGGATAGGACTAATTAATAAACAATCTGCCAAGGTTAAAAGAAAATAGTTTATGTTGATACCAAGCTATGGGTTTATATACAAGATCTTCCATTTATAGTTCCACTATTAAAAAGTATTTTAAAAAGCACAGTTTTTACTTAATTATATCTCATAATGTATTCTTTGTATGAATCAAACACAGGTAGCAGAACTATCTCTTGGAGTCTTTGCCTTCCTTTTCCATCACTATTACATTTAGCTGACTATAATCTATCCTCAAGATGGTTTTGCAGTGTAGGCATCTATTACTGTGGTGTTTCTACATGGATCAATTTACACTGATGTCCGTGGTTTGATATTTTCCTCTTTTTAGCTTTGAACTTTCATGTTCACTTGGGGTGTGTGTGTGTGTGTGTGTGTGTGTGTGTGTGTGTGTGTG